TTGTTTTTCTGTGTCTAAAATCCTTTCTAGTTCTCTTGTAACTATAAAAAGCAGGCAGAAGTGTTTGACTGACATATTTAATTTAGATCTCGTTATAAAAACAGGAAACTGCTGCTGTAAAGACTCATTTCTTTTCTTAGTCCTGACACTTTCTATATTGCTTTCTTTGTCTTTGTCAGGAACCTGAGATTAAAGGATCAGCAAAGAAAAAGCAGAAAACTGGAGCCACACCAGGCAAATTTAAGAAAGCCAAATAGACTGAATGTATCCATAAATTAATCTGAGATGTTATTGTGATGAGTGATGTTTGGAGTTAAGACAAAAGGAAACTGCTACTGTTACTTTTTTGTAACTTTCTGTTGTATCACCTAACGAAACCTGAGCTAGCTGTATTTTAATGAGTGTTGGACATTTTTATTTCAAGTGTTGGAAATAAAAAAGGTTTTTTTTTTGTAAAGATCCTCATTTGTTGCCCTTTAACAGTACTGTGCAAAAGCCTGAAACTTCCCCTCTTATCTCTATATTTTGCTACCAATGAGCTAGCCAATAGTTCTCCAGACTTCCCTAATGTCTTGCAAAGTTTTGTTGTTGTTTTTTTGTCCTCTCACTTTCAGTCTACTCCTTGCATCCAACCACCAGGCAACGTGGCAAACGACTAATTTCAAACTTTGCAACAAGGTGATTTCCAAAAAAAATGCTGTTCTATGGCCATGATACAAAGAGCTATTAGGCAAAAATCTGGCATGGTTCATCCATCGACGAAGTGTCATCAGAAATTGACTCCGGGAGAAAAGGATAAGCTCTGCCAAATTACAGATGGCAATAGGTCTGATGGAGTGATGCCACCAAATTTCCAATTTTTGGTTTAAGTATAATCCAGCAGTGAGTGTCCATATCTGTACACATCTGTAATACATGGTGATGGCCCTGTTATGGTTTGGTCTATTTTAGCCAGTGGTGTCGGGGATCTTGTTAGAATTGACAGAATTATGAATGCAGAAACTTAATGTCAGATTTTGATTAACCATGTAGTTGCATCTGAAAAGCATCTGATTGTCAAATCTTAATTTTTCAGCATGACAATGATCCCAAACACACTGCCAGTGCATTAAAACACTACTGGCCAAAGGTTTTAGACCACCCCAATGTTTCTAGTTATTTATTGCAGTTCAAGTCATACAAGTCCAATTAATAACTTGAAATGGTATAAAGGTAAGTGGACTGCCAAAAGGGAAAAAGAAAAGGTTATCTAAGATTAGCTAAAACTGAAAAATAATGTACATTTCAGAGTTATAAAAAAGGCCTTTTCAGGGAGCACAACATTTTAAGCTGATCTGTAGCAGTGGAGGTTGATCAAGCCTTGAAAGCTGGTGCTAATAATTCCTACAAGTGTTCCAACTTTTCTGGATTACTCACCCCCTCTGTCTGCAGAAAAGCAGTGTTGGAACACACTGTGGTAGTACCATACCCTCGTGAACATCAGTTCAACAGTGTTTTACTGCAGAAAGTAGTGAGTTACAAAAAAAATGTCAAGAAATAGGCAACTAACAATAGAATTCAAGCTTCAAGCACAACTTAATAGAGGTCATAGTAAGCAAGTCTCAGCTCAACTGCGAAGAGAAGACTTTGAGCTGCAGGTTTGACAGGACGAGTTGCAGCAAGAAAGCCATTGCTAAGAATAAGACAAAGATGCTTTTCTGGGCCATGAAACACCGCCACTGGACTAATGAAGACCTGACTGGACTGATGAATCAAAATTTGAAATCTTCGGTTCATCACGCAGGATCTTTGTACGCTGTCGAATAGGCGAAAGGATGATTCCACAGTGTGTCGCATCAAGTGTCAAACATGGAGGAGGAAGTGTGATCATCTGGAGTTGTTTGGCTGGATCCAAGGTTGGTGAATTGTACATGAGAGGTGCAGACACTCTGAGGCAAAACGTGAACTCAAAAGTTACGAAACTGAGAATCCAAAAATAAACTCAGGCAGACAGACAGAACACACAACACGGACGCAGAGAAACACAGGGCTTAAATACACAGAGGGAGCAATCGGGGAATGGGTAACAGGAGGGAAACACAGCTGGGGCAAATCAGCAAAACCAGATACATTAACATAAGACATGGACCTTCAAAGTAAAACAGGAAACATAACACAGAGGCGCAGACTTGACACAGGGATACAGCAACTATGGAACAGAACAGAACACACAGAACACTAACAAAACCCACACAGAAAACCTAAACTAAGATTAAACCTATAACCCATAAGGCAAAGCTAGAATAATGAAAAAAAACAAAATCAAAGAACCAATAAAAGACAAAACACTGGGTCAACAGCCCAGGCACCCTAACAAAGGGAGCCATTCAGTGGATTCAAACCCCCGACCTTCTGATTATGGAGCGACCACTCTACCCTACTGCTCTATCCCTGCTTTTTGTGTTGCTTGGCTGGTCAATTTATGTTATATAGCACTTTAAAACCACCGCAGCTGGCCCCAAGTGCTTTAGAGACAGGCATATTTACATTCCAGGACTCTTAAAAAAGCAAGAAAGGTTTGTTTTATTGCGAATTATTATGGAGTTCTCAGTGATTTTAGTGGTGATTAAAATGTGTCCAGAATTTGGCAAATTGATGACGATTTATTTCAGAAATCATGACACACATAAGATGTCTTTATAAGTTAAAAGTTTAGCCAATACTGGACTTTAGTTAAGTCCAGTATTGGCAATACTGGACCTCTGCTTGGTATCAGATCAATATTGAAATTTGCAGTATTACACAGTCCTAAGTTCAGGATTAACAGTGATCATAACAAATATTGACTTTTAAGCTCCTTAGAATTGTACAAAGTCTGTTTTTGCCTTATATACTCTATTTCTATGCATATATGCATAAAGTCTTGCTTCATTCCTACAGCTAAAATACTTATCATGTGTAAAAACTATATATCAGGGCATCCACACCATGCTGAGTGCAATTTCTCTGCAGGGCATTTGGGTTCCTGCTCTAAATAGAAAAGGGTTGATAGCACTTGCACACACATGTGTTGACAGGAAATCTTATATATTTATATATTAGGTTAAAGAATGCGTGAATCCACATAAAACAAACAGAATGTTAAAAGGAGAACAACATTACAGCAAGAAACACACAATGCGTGTGCTGCAAGTTCCTCCTGAGCATCCCACATTCGTGGCATGACAACTAAAATGTGTGTGAAACAGTACCACTTCCTTTGTGCTTAACCCTGCAGGGTTTAATGGTTTGTTTGAGCTCACCACTTGATGAAATTGCAGATATGAAAAAGTGAGATTTCATTTTGTGGCCATCTGAGCCACAGTGAGATGAAGCTTCTTGTATACTACACTGCCAATATGTTGTTTCATGCAGCAGATTCAATTTTACAGTTAATGAAGTTTTATCATCTTAAATATTATGGCCAAAATTTCATGGCTTGCTATTGAGATGAAAAAAGAAAAACCTACAAACACGATTGACTTTTTTGACACACAGACAAGTAAACATTTGATCATCTTCAAAACAATACTAATTAATAAGGTGGTACACATAGAAAAATGCTTAAAAGAAAATATGATTTCAAAAACATTTATTCAATAAAACTATAAAAAGCTGCAATGCTGTGAAGAAAAGTGTACCCATGATGTCAGAAGCTCTCATTTCCTTAGCAGTAATAAGTGTTGCACAAGTTCCCACTCTTTGACAAGTTCCCAACAGTCTTTGACATCAGCTTCCTTAAATTTATAACTACCATCTTACACAGGAAGTGATTGTGAACTCAAAGTTAAGTCCAAGGCTGCAGCCTGCACACTGCCTGAGCAGCATAACTACAGCAACCACACAATTTGCACCCACAGCTGCTGTTCAAGACAAACATGTGTTATTCTTGACTCTAAACTTTCCTTTGACAAACAGATCTGTTCTGTTGTTGAAGATAGCTAAAGATAGGGAAAAGTCCAAAACCTTATTGCATCTGGATAACTGTAACTCCCAAGTCTCCTCCAATCTCTTTTGACATCGTTGGAGATAGTATGAAATTCAGCAGCAAGACTGTCAATTGACTCCAAAAAAATATAAATACCATTCCAGCCCTGGCCTCACTGCTCTCCATTTTAGAAGTCAGTTTAAGATTTTATTTAGTGTTTCTAAGGCTCTTAATGGTCAGGACCCATCTGCATAGCACCAGTCTCATTCATTTGCATTCTTTACATGTCCTGGGGTCACGCCTCAAACTAAAAGATATCAGAGCTTATGCAGTCACTGCTCCACATTTGTGGAATCAGCTGCAAGTTGATTTTGAAGTCTAGGCACAGAAATCCACCTTTATTCTCCAGCCCACAGAGAAAGGGCATGTGTTTATTAGTATCCTAGATTCCTACAGTTTAAAAAAAATAATTTGGTGTTGTTGCTCCAAACAAGGCCTCACCATTTATTTTTACACAGACTTTCATAATGAGACACTAAAAAACATTCTTTAATAAGATTAAATGGATCTTCATCTCAGGGCATGCGTGATGTAGACTGACCAATCAGGCTAACATGTAGCTGCAAAAACTGTGCATCTTTGGAACTGATTTTAAAGAAGAAACATAAATAAATGACTAAAAACATGAGTTGACATATTGCAAGATATTTCTAGCACTTGTAGCTGTGCTCTTATCAGAACAAAGCAGAAACTGACTGTGGTAACACAGTGACTGTATGACAAACAATGAAAACCACGAGGACAGGAAGATGAAAATTGTCTGGTTAGCTAATAATGCACTGGTTGCTTATGTTGGTGTGCAGCTTAAACAAAGTTTTTTTTTTTTTTTTAATGTATGTATTGTGCCCTACATAAAGAAGGCACAGCTTATAAGACTGCTTTGTGACTTTTTGATTGCTTTAATGCAGAATTACATTCTTCCAGGTCATCATACTGAGTCCCAAAATGGGTTTTTATTTTACAAAGGGAAATTCGTTCTTTCATTATTTCCCTTTGGCAGCTGAAATCCCAAAGTTGCTACACATTTGCAGAAATATTACAAGACCTTATTGTTTCTCTTTTTGATAGGTGGAGTGTGTATAAGTGCGTGTATGATACTTTTACTTCTTATCATTTTAAGCCAAAAAAGAGATCCTTGTTGGTTTGACTTTCAGGGTAAGTAGATTTTACACATTATCATATTATATGTGACAATGATATTCATTCTGTGGATAAATATCAATGCCTGAATATATCACTATGTATAAAATATGTAAATCTAGGAATTTGTCGACCTGTTGACTGAGTCGTGTTTGCAACGTCAGATGATGAGTGTCATGGCAGCACTGTGTGTGAACATGTTGAGAACCAACATGTTACTGAGTATCTTCATTCTTTCAGGTGAGCTGTTTTTATTTCAGAGACATTACTCCGACATTTGAACATCTGCATGGATGCTAATATTTTCCACGTTATTTTAATCTAGACACTAAATTCCTAAATTCACAGGCGCTCTGGCTGCTTGTCCTGAGGATTCAGCTTTACTCATCACTACAACAGAGCAGATGGAAGCACTGAGTGGATCTTGTCTCCAAATCCCATGTAACTTTAGAGCTAAACCAGAAAAGGCTTTTAATGGGAGAAGAACAGTTGCTGGAGTGTGGATTAAAAGTGACAGTAGACTTTTAATAGATCCAAAAAATGTGATCTACAACAGTAGTGGAGCAGTTAGCATCTATCCAATGAGAATTACTGGGAACCTGAGTCAGAGAGACTGCACCACTCTGTTTTCTGATTTATCCACCAAGTACACAGACACATACTTCTTCAGAGTAGAGAGTGAAGCCTTCAAGGCCACAGCTTTCTGTGATCGTCTTCAAATTACAGTTAGAGGTAAGAGAGTTTATAATAAATAACAAATTATATTATTTATATTGTTATAGAAAACTTTAAATCATCATCATAAATCAGAGAGCTGAAAGTTAGAGTAGAGAGAGGGAAAATACTGTGCCGGAGTCATAACCAAGAAAAGAACTAGGTATAAATGTGTAAATCCAGAACATAAATCTATTTATTTAGATGACCCACCTCGACTTCACAAAGAGTGTTTGTGTTTGTTGTAACCTGTCCAAAGGTGCGTGATTGGCTGGAAAGAAATATGATCCACATTTTACAGCCCTGAAATGAGCCCAGAAATGTTATAATCATCAAATCTCAGTTGTAGAAAAGAGATTGCAGTTTAAAAGTAAGATCTCTGGTGGTGTGACAGCCAGTATACTGTATTCCAAAGCAATGTGCCGCAAACCTCAGCGTCAACAACTGACAGCAGAAATGTACTCATGTGTTTCAGCACAGAACTTTCTCCAGAGCATGTGAGGTGCAATAATGAAGCTCGATTATATATTTAAGAGTAGATTTAATATGAAATGCAAAACTCTGTCATCTGGGACCAATCGGTTTACTTTAGTGTGCCTAAATTGTTTTCACAGGGACTGAGCACAAGTACTTATTTGCTTCAATTCTAGGCTTATAAGATGTATCAATGCAGATGGCGATCCTCATTGATAGGTTTGTATTTTAAAAAAATCCACAGGAAAATGAAGGTGGTTTGAGTACTTGAGTAAAACGTAGATTTTGTCAGCACAATAACATCATCACTACTGAAGATCCAATCACAAAGATTTACAGGGTGAGTTGAAAGAGTGGCGTGAACTGAACCACCATCACTGAGTAGCTTTAAAGTATTTTTCCTCAAATTTATCAGAATTGGTTTATTTTTCCACTGAGCACAATGCTATTTTTTGAGACATTATTGTTCCCAAGTATGTATTATTATTAAATAATGTAATGAGATTACACCTCTATGCCAATGAGTCCTCAAAGCGCAAAGCTTAAAAACTACACACTTTTAAGTACACAACTGTATTTGAATGGTTATCAGCCTTGTGTACTAAAATCCAAATAATACCTGTATTAATTTGATGTGTCTGTTGTGAAACCACAGATTCTCCTTGGAGGCCCAATATTACAATCTCAGGTGATCTGAAGGAGAAGGAGTCTGTCACTATAACCTGCTCAGCTC